CACACACACACACACACACACCCAGGGGTGGAGGGTGGGGGTACATGGTGAGCCCTCATTTTAGTCTGGTGGGCCTATGGCGAGCCGATTTGGTGGCCGGTTTGGGCTCTGTGGGTCCTGTTGGCAGAGTTTCCACCCCTGAGCGTTGCRTATATATTGAGCTCAGCGGGGCGCCACAAACACACCGGCACCRGCAGGTAAGAGGCTGATGATGACCATCATGCTGCAGCTTAAACACTTTMCATCCCTCCCTCATCTGTATTTGTTCGTTCAGCTTCTATATTTTATCTGATAAACTCCACGRCGTCTCTCGTTAATGTGGTTCTGTGTTCAGAAGGCTGTGGACTGCTGAAGCTTGTTTTGGAAGGACAGATCATTTTTAATGCATTTGCATGTAAAAGTGACCAAAATATTGATTCAGATCTGTTTGTATTTAAAAAGATTTTCAACATGATCAGCACTAGTTGCTAGAAACCTTTCCATAGCTTCGTCTGTGTTTCTTTTCAGTTTCATCCTCACCGATCTGCTCACTATGGCCACAGACCACCAGATTCCTGCATCCAAGCAGCAGCAGCCAGGCAGCAGTGCGTTTAAGGTGGGAGGGAAGTTAYCACTTTGACTGACCGTTTTTAGATTTTTTTAGTGCCCCAGACCTGATATTTAGGTCATGAGCTCAACAAAACTCAGTTTAAAGTGCACTCTCTCTCCTTTTTTCTCTTGCCGACACACAGCTCGTCATCTATGAGCAGGAAAACTTCCAGGGACGCTGCCATGAGCTGACTGGTCCCTGTAACAACCTCCAGGAAGCAGGCATGGAGAAAGTGGGCTCCATACTGGTGCTGTGTGGACCGTGAGTGTGGGTCGCAGGCAAACAAACAAAAAAATAAATAAATGAAGACCGATCTAGATTAGAGTGGCTTTGTGAATGAGCGTTGGACAGCCTGCAGGATGAAACGATCAGAAAAGACTAATTTAACCCCCCGTCTCTCTCTCCTCTGCCCTGTCAGGTGGGTGGGATACGAGCAGGCCAACTGTAAGGGTGAGCAGTATGTGTTTGAGAAGGGGGAGTATCCTCGCTGGGATTCCTGGACTAACAGCAGACGGAGCGACACCATTGTTGCATTCCGCCCGATTAAAGTTGTAAGAAGGAGCTTTGAAAACAAAAATGGACCCCTACCCCTTTCTCTCATCTACTCYGAGCTCATATTTGTTTTGGGATTTTATTTCTTTGTCTCTTTTTCTCAGGACAGCCAGGAGCACAAGATTGTTCTTTACGAAAACCCCAGCTTTGCAGGGAAGAAGATAGAAATCATAGACGATGATGTCCCCAGCTTCCATGCTCATGGCTACCAGGAGAAGGTGTCTTCTGTTCGGGTCCAGAGTGGCACGTAAGTCCCAGCAGGTGACGAGTGGGTTTGAGGACAGCTCCTACACGTTGCCTTGTGGTTTCACCTCTAACGTCTGATTTCCCTCTCTGTGTGGCCCTGGTGAACCAGCTGGGTGGGCTATCAGTACCCAGGATACAGAGGCTACCAGTACCTGTTTGAAAAGGGGGAGTACGAGGACAGCAGCGAGTTTGGAGCCCAGATCCCCCAGATCCAGTCAGTCCGGCGCATCAGAGACATGCAGTGGCATCTGAGGGGTGCTTTTCACCCCATCAACTGAGCTTGTGACTCGTTCCTGTCGTGAATCCTGACCTCGACGACCTTGATCCCTCCCAGCAGCCCCCCCTGTTCTTCTGTGACCCTGCACATTTCAACATCTGCTGCAGCTGCTGTGGCACTGATGTTGATCRAAGCAAACTAATAAATTCCTCTTGCTTAACTTAGCCTTGTGATTTATTCCTGTACTGCACAGCACAAACGTTCTTCAGCCTTAGCTGATGTTGAGTCAAAATTTAAAGGCCTCTCTTATGCACATCACAGCCCACGTCATGCACGATACTGCAAGATCTCACAAAATGTGTTTGCACAGATCATGTGTTGAGGTTGACTCAAGCACATATTGACATGTTGTGGCTAGTCTCAGCCACTGCCACACCATTTTTTATCTCAGTCCAAGTAAAATTAACGAATTGTATATTAATTAGTATTAATAGTATTATTATTAGTTGGGTATTGTGGTCAAATTAACCTGGAGTGGCTGCAAAAGTTCCTTAGTTGTAGCTAAACATCCAATAATTACATTCTGAGAATTTCATTAATATCCACGGAGTGGTTCATGAGATTGCTAACAGATAAACAAAATTATGCCAACAAYAAAYGCCAAAGTTTTAAGCAAAGATGTAGCTAAATGTGTAATGCTCAGAGTATGTTTTAGGGCTGGTACTGAGCAACAACCACACTAAAATTCATATCTCAATACTAGTAAAATTGACTGAATTAGAGCAATTTTTATGTCTTTKGCGACAATCTTTGACCGAGTTGACACCAAAAGTTAATAAACTGTGGATATACACTCAGGGATTACTTTCTAAAAGTTTTTATACCCCCTTGTGGTTCTTGAGATATTTTGCTAACAGACAGACAGAGTGGCCTTCGTGTTATTCCGTTGTAGGAGACCTTGCAATGATCAACTCCGACCATCAGGYGGCGCTGCGGAGTTTTACAGCTTCTGCTGCTTTCTGTTTCCGGTCAGGAAGACTGTCAAAATATGAGGTAGCAACATGCGGCTATTTGTAGTTTAGCAATAAAGTTGCTTTGATAAATAAGAGTTTGAAAGCTTTTATTTTATTTTTTTCGTGTATTTGATTCCCACATCCTCTCGTCAAACTTCAACTTGGAAACGTTGGTGCGAAAACCTAACCTCACGTAAATTTGATGTGTTTTCTTGTCTAGCTAAAACATTTTATTAGATATTTGATGTAATGTTGGGCGTCTGTGTTTATATATTTCATTGACTTATTTTATTAATTCGGCTCTCTTTATAACACTTTAATTCACTATCTTCTTSTTTAATTACAGTAAGTTGTAACAGGATGGTGCCTAATCGTAATCTGTGCAGTGCATTGAAAAATCAAACAGGTTTACATATTATTATTATTGTAAAGCTACAGTTTTTTTATTGTACTCAAGAACCGTTTAAATAAATTAGTTTGTCATTTAGTTTCAGATTGACACACTATAATTAACAAAAATACAGGGTGGGATATATTGTGATTTTGCTCATTCAACAATGAAACAAGAGCAAAAAGTCAAAAAAGTTGTCAAGTGGAAGCTAAAAAACCTGAAGGGTTTAGAAAGTTTCTGGCCAAAATCCCCCATCAAATATGTATTTCACTCAGTGACACTGAAATTTATTTGTGATGTTGGTATTTTTGTCTCTCCATTCAATTGAAACCTTTATTATTTTGTCTTGGAGTTAATTTAATTATAAATAAGAAAACTTGCCACATCCTTAGGGAATGAAAATTCTATTTCCCTCCCTTTCTTAAGATGATGTTGTCAGATATATATTTGGGAGCATGTTTTTAACCCATCTGTACATTGTGTTTTGTCGATCCACAGTCAGAATGCCGATCCTGTGCAGCAGCTGCTCTGAGAAACGGGCCGTGCTGAAACGTCCAAAAACCGGCCATTCCCTGTGTAAGGAGTGCTTYTTTTGGGCGTTTGAGGAGGAGGTACATCAGACCATCGTGGCAGCAGAGCTTTTCAAACCTAAAGAGGTTGTAGGCATCGCAGCCTCGGGAGGAAAGGACTCCACGGTGCTCGCACACGTTATGAAGCTCCTCAACGAGCGATACAACTACGGCCTSCAGCTCATGCTCATCTCTGTGGATGAAGGGATCACCGGCTACCGAGACGACTCCTTGGAGACTGTGAAGAGAAACCAGCAGCAGTACGAGCTGCCGCTAAAGATCGTGTCGTACGAGGAGCTCTATGGCTGGACTATGGATGCTATAGTGAAGCAGGTGGGGCTGAAAAATAACTGCACGTTCTGCGGTGTGTTCAGGAGACAGGCGCTGGACAGAGGAGCCATCATGCTGAAAGTGGATAAGATCTGTACAGGTAAAGTTTGAAACACATCATTACTGTTAGCCTGCAGTAGAATGACAGTGGTGCTCATTTCGTTTCGCAGGTCACAACGCTGACGACGTGGCGGAGACGGTGTTGATGAACGTGTTGCGTGGAGACATAGCTCGTCTCCGTCGCTGCACCACCATCTCCACAGCCAGCGAGGGCGACGGTGTTGTACCGCGGTGCAAACCCCTCAAATACGCCTATGAGAAAGAGATYGTTTTRTAYGCTTATTTTAAAAAACTAGACTACTTTTCCACCGAGTGTATCTACTCCCCCAATGCTTATCGCGGCCATGCAAGGACCTTTCTCAAGGACCTGGAGAGTATACGGCCTAGCTCCATCGTGGATATCATCCACTCCGGTGAGAACCTGTCTGTGCGCGAGGGGGTGAAGATGCCCGTCCAGGGAACCTGCACTCGCTGCGGCTACATCTCCAGCCAGGCACTGTGCAARTCCTGTGTGCTGCTGGAGGGGCTGAACCGAGGTCTGCCCAAGCTGGGTATAGGCAAGCACCACCGTCTGCACGAAAAACTCCTCTCCCAGCAACCTCTTACTGACAACGAGGAGAGAAAGCTGAAATCTGTGGACTTTTGACAACTATTAATTTAATATTTAGGCTATAGAATCAAGTTTAGATTAAAAGGGTAAAGATCAGACTTTTGGTAATGCAGACAAATCTTTTAAGACAAGTTAAACATCTTCCCAACGTCATGCACAATCTGTAGTAGTCAGTTACAGCTATTACAATAAATGAAATACTTTGTGTGAGGGTTTAAAATTCACATTTGTTGTCTGGTGCTGTTAAATATTTACAGAAATAAAGATAGTAATGTTAAATCAGTTAGACATACATTTTTATGCATTTAAGTGAATATAAATTTACAATAAAACATTTTACATGTTTATTATGACCCCCGCACGCGAAGCGTAAGCGGGAGTCATACTGTTTTCGTACGGTTTATTTTTTGTTTTTTCAGTGATTTTTGGGCAACTGTAGCACAAAAACGGCTGTACCGGTCAACATGAAATTTGGCAGGATTGTAGATGAGTCTGACCTACACTGCGCCACCCAATGGTTTTAGGATAGACCCCATATTTGAGGAGGGGGCTCCCTTCAACGTGGGGGTGTCAGGACATGCAAAAATGCTTATAACTCAGAAACTGTTCAACATAGGAGCTTCAGATTTCTTTAGTTGTTTAGCTCTGATGAAGCTCTATCCATCAGGCCCACCAATCAGTGCCCCCCACCCCCCGGACCCCCAATTTATCTGAAAAAGGGGTGCCTGGACATACAAAAATGGTTATTGCTCAAAAACTATTAAACATAGGAGCTTCAGATTTCTTTTGTTGTTTAGCTCTGATGAGGGGCTATCCATCAGGCCCACCAATCAGTGCCCCCCACCCCCCGGACCCCCAATTTATCTGAAAAAGGGGTGCCTGGACATACAAAAATGGTTATAGCTCAAGAACTATTAAACATAAGAGCTTCAGATTTTCCTTGGTTGTTTAGCTCTGATTAGGGGTTATCCTTCAGGTCAACCAATGCCCCCCCCCCCCCCCCMAAAAAAAAAAAAAARAAAAADACCCCCAYCCAAACCACTACAATTTTGGGATGCTCCTGCTAGCATGACATTTATTAGTAATAGTTCCAGTGCATTTCTGCTTGCGGGGGTCATTATGTTACCGCTATGCGGTATCTAGTTTTGCAGCAGTTTTTGTCAGGTATGCATAATTTATAAACTACAATAAATGTTTGTCATCGTTTCTATCTTTAATATTCTCCCAAGTGTTGAACATGATATCACTGCACATTACTTTAATAAGCACTGGTCTTTTCACAAACCTTGTGTTTTCTTTCACACGTTTTAATCAAACCTTGAGAATAGTAGTGTGTTCTGAATGATGCTCAGCTACTATCACATCAAGTTTGAGCTCAATATATGTAACATGAACCAAATTGTAGCCATTTATGTGTTTGCTAATGCTCATTAGATGTGCTGGCCGTCTTGAGTTGTTCAAAAGTTAGTTTTAGATGTACTCATTGCATTCTGAACATTTGATTAATAATTCATGAGTTATTGTAGCAAACATGGTTGACTCTAACAATGCAACTGTTTTAAGTAAAAATCTTGCTCAATGCATAGCACTTGGTAGCACCTTGTGAATGACTGTAGGCTGCAACTCACACCAAATTTTAGCACATGCAAAATTGGCGGAATTATAAGCATTTTGTTTCATAAGGACAATAGTCAATAGTGGCCACTTGAACTGAATTGAGTCCAGAAGTTAATCACTTGTAGATGCTTATCCAGTTATTATTTTGTGCAGGTTTCATCTAAATCCTTCCAGGTTTGAGGGATATTTTGCTTGGACAAAGTTGACATCAAATAGTTGATGACAAGAATTGTAAACAAAGATCTATTGGTTCTCAGACTATGTGTTTGGGTGGATTCTCAGATACTACCACAGCAAAATTATAGCTCTGTCTGTAAAATTGCAGAAATGACATATTAACATGTCATATTAAAATGAAAATTACATATTTTTTTACTTGAAAGTTTTCTGCAGGTCTTTGGGTTTTGGTCATTTCCTCATGTCCTTATACAGGCAGTGACTGCCTTATAAACATGGCTGTCAGGACCATTTTAAAAGTGTGGGGACACGTTGTTGGGGGGTCTGGGGGTCCTCCCCCAGAAAATTTTGATCAAAATAGATGCCCTTTCCATCATTCTGGTGTATTTTACCGGGTTGTTTAACCTACTTGTACCTACATGAATAAACACTTGATTTAATAAGAGAGTGTCAGAATTGTCTCGTCTGGGCTAAAGACTAAAAGGACTGGACTGCTGCTGAGTGAGCCAGAGTTGTGGAGGTCAACTGTTTTCTTCCTGATATCTTGATTGATTTAGTTTGGTTGTTCATGGGGTCTCACACAGAGAAACTGTTTAGTGAGACACAGTGCCTGAAATTCAATTTTGAAATTGGGGGGGAGAAATCCCCCTTACTAGGGGGGATTTATACAAAGTGGGGGGGT